TCATAACTACCTGAAGCTAAAGTAGTTCCATCTGGCGAGAAGCATACAGATCTTACATCATCACTATGATCATCTAATACGGCTTTTTATTATATTGGCTTAGCCCCCCCCTAAAATGATTGACTTATCATCATTATCAGATTAAATAGTTCCATCTGATGAGAAGCATACAGATTAGTCTTCAGGAGTACGACCATCCAATTTATTCAGTTCATGAATTTTTATGTTCTTCCATTTGCAATTAAATAGTAGTGCTCCATTAAGATTCACTTCTCTAACGTCTACATTTTCAAACTCTGATTAACTAAAGTTACATCTGAAAAAATTTCCTCCTATCAAAGATGCATTCTTTATCCTTATATTCTCGAAGCTTTGGTAAGAAAGATCAACCTTCATTTTTACTAATAAATTAAGTCCATTTGACCCGCATTAAATGAATTAATCGTCAATACTTGTTAGATAAACAAGAAATTAGATTTTCTTATTTCCTGCTATCTTCTTTATTATATTTGACCTTTAATTTTCATAAGTTTCTATGCTATAATCATCTTTACTATAGGAATGTTCCTATAAATTTCTCAAAACATTTGTAATCTTCATAATTTTTTATTTAACAATCCTTATTGCCTATTATTAATTGACAAATAATTAATATAGTTTAAAATTCCATGGCTTTGAAATAAACCGTAGGATATTCGACGTTTTCTCTTACCTAGCCATTTCAATAATCACTTTTAATATTGTTTCATCAATATCTTGAATAGAGGTTAAAATTTCATAAAGATCTTCTTTCTTTTAGTATTCTTCACCTTCATATAAAATTTTCTCCATTTCTTTCTCTAAATTTTATCTAAAGGTAATTGTTTCTAATTCCAACTAATTCTTAGTAATATCCAACTCCATCAAATACGATTTCATTTCATCATTCCAATCTTTTAATTTTGATCCTTATATGATTGAGACCATTTTTTCTAAATCAGTATATGAGGATTCGGCTAAATTTTTGTTTTCATTTATCAGATTAACATATGATTTATTTTCCTGTTCTATCCAGTCAAAAATAGTTTTGATTGATTTCGACAAGTCTTATGAAATTTTTTTCAGAATAATTTCCATTTGAGATAGCAAAGATTTAAAAGCCATTCTCAATTTTGTTAACACAGATGTCTGATCAAGACCAAGCCAAGATTCTTAAAATTTCTTGAGCACCATTTCTTTAAATTTTTTAATGGATACTAAGTATTTAGAATCCCCTCCATGTTCATCTTAACATTCGGCACACAGTCTCCTTTAGTATTAGCATTTGAGATCAGCGATACAAATAACTACTACTTGATTTTTAAAATGGTGAAGGCACCTATTTTTAAAAAAATTTTGAATTTCTATTAGTTTTATATTACGTTTTATATTGTGTGAACCTAAAAAATCTTGTGCATTAAAGTTAAGATAGTGAAAAAACACTTTGAAAATGAGAATTTGAATGTTATTGTTTTAAGATATCCTTTAACAATAAACTTTATTATTATTTATTTCAACCATGACTTTCCTATTTAATCTAAGGACTTTTCTTTAGGAACCTTAGAGGAAAGAGAATTTATAACCTCCT